CTTTTTCATCTGCAATAATTCATTCTAAAACTCCTTTACAGCATGCCACTCCAGGCTTAAACCCTTCACTGGCTCAGTCTCTGAGCTAAAGAAGTGCCTTAGCTAATGTCTGTACTTACAGCTAAGATTACAAAAGATTAAAGCAATGACTGACCATCACTTTTCCTTTTATAGATGTACTGTTCCATTTGGAAGTCAAGGTTGGTGCCACCTAAGTGGGTTCCTGCTGCAAGGAATTTGAGGACATCCTCCTCCTTCATCTGCAGGACATCAAGGGCTCCGGACATTGTGAAAATTTCCCTTTAAGTTACGGTGGGAATCCAGAACAACGCCGTATGGGCCCTCCCTGAGCGGCTCGGAAAGGCGTAAAGTGGTATCTTATTGAGGTTTTGATCTGCATTTCTCTTTACCTAATTCTCCTCCTCCCCTCCCCCACAAATAACCAAGGCTTAATGGCTTATTTCAATTTTTAAAAAACTTAGGCAGATATACACATATACATGTGGGGATATCCACACCTTTTAAAAAATATGGAATCAACCTCTAAACATTTTTGTGCATATTACTTTTTTGTGCTGAACAATACATCCTGAAGATCCCTCGAAAGTAGTAAATAGAGAAATTTTCAGTCCTTTTATAGCTGACATTACTCTATTGCACTTATTTATTTAACCAGTTCCCTACTGATTATATGGTGTTCTGATTTTTGCTTACAGCTGGTGTAACATGTATAGCACTGTCATATTCTTTATAACAAAATAGTTTTACCATATGATTTTGGGAAATATCCTTAAAAGTGAAATTTCTGGATCAGAGAGTAAATGCCCCACATATACACCTTAAATAGACATAGAGATATAGATATGTATATATAATGCAATATAAAGTATTTACATGTATTCCACATATGAAGGGTTCTTGTCAGAAATATTTAAAATGAAATCTAATGACCACAAAACAATTAGAGAAATCCAGAATTTAGGGTATTCTTTAAGTCATTGTTATGAAACACATATTAAAATGAAAAGATAAAAAAAGCATGGATTTTCTTTTTTAGACTAAAGAGATATAATAAATGCAATGCATGTGTTTTGACAAGATCCAGGATTTTAAAAATTGAAGAGCAATTAGGGAGATTTCAATAAGGACTATATCATAGGTGATTCTATTTAATCACTGTTAATTTTCTTAGGTACAATAATAGCATTGTAATTAGACAGAAAAATATGTCCTTGTTCTTAGATGTATAGGAAAAGTGCCATGATGTCTGTGGGTCGGGAGAAAAAGTCATCATGTAAATGGGGCAAAATGTTCCCATTTGGTGGATCTAGAGGAAAGGGATATGGGGATTCATTGTATTATTTCTTCAACTTTTTCACAGAGCCAATTTTTTTTTGAAAGTTCAATTGGGGGTAAACATTCTTGTATTAGTAAAATGAATAATATGTACTAAAAGGCTATAAGAAAGTCCAAATTCACCAATAATTTACATGTGGATTTTTTCACAATTCTTCAACAATAGTATATTGTATCAAAGAGTGCAGGCTGAAGAAAACTAGAAACTTCAGGGCAGTCATCTTTTAAATCATTACAATTACATAATTAACATATAATCATTTTAGAAAAAATAGGAAAAGGCAGATAAGCAAAAAGAGAAAGTTAAAAATAATATAATTTTACCTATCAGAGATGATATATGGTTGATACAGTCACGTACAGAAACAAATTGTATATATGACAGTGGTTCATATAAGATTATATTTTTACCGTACCTTTTCTTTTTTCTTTTTTTTTTTATGTAAAAGACTGAAACTGGACCTGCACCTTTCTCCACTCACAAAAATTGATTCAAGATGGATAAAAGACCTAAATCTAAGACATGAAACAATAAAAAAAAACTCAAAGAAAGTGTGGGGAAAACACTTGAAGCTATCAGCCTGGGGAAAGACTTTATGAGAAAGACTCCCACGGCAATTACAGCAACAATAAACATAAACAAATGGGACTTAATGAAACTGAAAAGCTTCTGTACAGCTAAAGAGACAACCACCAAAGCAAAAAGGCAACCTACCCAATGGGAAAGGATATTTGCATATTTTGAATCAAGCAAAAGCTTAATAACTAGGATCTACAAAGAACTCACATTAAGCAACATAAAAAAGAGTCAACAATCCTTTATACCAACTGGGCAAGAGAAATGACTTTCCTTAAGGAGACAGACAAACGGCTAACAAACATATGAAAAAATGCTCATCATCCCTAATTATTAGAGAAATGCTAATCAAAACCACCCTGAGATATTATCTAACCCCAGTGAGAATGGCCCTCATCACAGTCTCAAAACTGCAGATGCTGGCGTGGATGTGGAGAGAAGGGAACACTTTTACACTGCTGATGGGACTGCAAACTAATACAACCTTTTTGGAAGGAAGTATGGAGAATCCTCAAAGAACTCAAGCTAGACCTCCCATTTGATCCTACAATC